GGATTATAGGCGTGAGCCATCCAGGAGACTCTTATCTCCAATTAACTACCAGAAAACTGGAAGTGGTATAATGGCTCAAGTGTAAAGAGCTTGCCTTGAGCTGAAGAGCTGAGGGACAGCACCCAGGCCCAGAGTTCAAGCCCCACGACCGAAAAACAAAACAAAACAAAAAACCATAAACTTTTACCAGACAACTGACATTGAGACTGCATGGCCTCATCAGACCAGAATGAAACCAGAGGTGAGGGGGTGCCAGGGAGAGAGGGGGTCTGGGAACACCGAGGTGGGGGAAGGGCTGAAGAATGGTGAGGAAGCAGCCAGGCAGAGATGGATGGCCATGTGTTCCAGGCGTGGGAACAACAGGTGCACCAGCCTGGCAATCCATGCTCACCCAGGGCCAGCACAGAGTTCAAGGGGAGAACTGTCCAGGAGAGGGGCTGACTTGAATCCAGATGGATCCTTAAATCTAAGATAGTAGTGTGGCTGTTCCTCTGAACACAAGACTGAGCCCCAATAAAAGTGCTGTACCCTGCCAGCCTTCTCCCAGTGACCTCCAGTCTACGTGCTACCAGTGAGGTTCTCGGTGAACACTTTTTGGATGCATGAATGTTAAATAAGTGCAGTACAAACAGAGCTAACAACTGAGATTGAGGCCCATGGCTGAGACCCAGGGGACACTAGTCTAGGTACCCCATGTTCTACCAGGGCTAAGACTGGGACCAGGCCTTTTCCCCATCCCACCTGGAGTCTGATTTGGGGACCTTGAGCTGAGAAAAAGGGTTGGTTCGCAAAGTGCCTGAATTTTGCTAGGGGCCAGGTTGAAAACCAGCCTAGAGGGAAGTCTCTGTCTTCAAAAGAAGTTAGGGCATAAGACCTGGAAGTATTTTCTGGAGCTGAATGTAAATGGCTTCCTAATTGGGCCCTCACAGACCACAGGCTACTGGGAAATTCTACCTACTCTCAATCCACATTTTTTCCCAAGGCCTGTTCCAGTCCAAAGGGCCAGAACTCTAACACCAGCCAGAAAAGAAACCTCTACTCCCATGCCCACTTGCAGCTCTGGAACTGGAGAGGTGGCCCAATACCAGTGCTAGGCTGAGGCCTCTAATCGAGGGCTCCTTGGTTACTCTAAATTAGGTGAGCTGTGATTCAGGGAACCTGACCCACCAGCCCCCAGCCTCACACTTCTCCAGAACAAGATCCACTCGAGCTTCCTAACACCAGCCAGGGGCCAGACCTCCCCACCTTCCTCAAGGGCTGCCCTAAAGGTAGGGATGCTGGATTCCAAGTCCCGCCCTAAACATCTGCATAGGCTGCTCAACTCCACCTCCAAAAGCAGGAAGTAGACGGCGGCAAGTCGCACGAGGTGTTGATCAACAGGGTCTGACGCTTTTGTTGACATCTGCCTCCGGAGGAGAACCCCACCCACCAGGCTCAGGGTCTCGGGGTCTGGAGGTCGGGGCTCATTTTCCACAGGTGCCATGAGCAAGGCTCGGTACCCCTAGCAGCCATCCCTCCGCAACTACCCCTCCCCAACTCTGTCACTGCCAATAGGTCCTCTAATTCCTCTTCACCCAGCTCAACTCAGTCCTCAAACTCGATGAGATCCTGCTGGCATTCTCCAGACGAGAGACATCTCACCTTCTCAGCCTGTTTCTCCCAGCTTCAGGATCTGATAAGGAACCAAGGCGACCTCGCTGGTGCCCGGAGAGGGCCCGACTCCCCGGCCTCTCTTCGCCCAGTGCCCGGCCCTCCAGCCTGACCCCTCCACCGGGCACTGCCTTCCCGCCCACGGCACCTTCCTGAGCTCGGGCACCGCTCCTCACCCAGTTCTCCAGGTGGATATCCCGCAGGGCAACGCTGCCCTTGTACAGATCCAGGCTGAGTTGGTCCAGGCTCAGATGTTCTTGGAAGAAGTGACCCAAGTAGTGGTGTAGCAAGTAGCGGCAGACCCGTTCTTTCACACAGTTCGACCATGGCCACAGCCATCGTGACATCTCGGGGAACGCCGGGACCCGGCTGCCTCCGCTTACCGCCTGCCGGCGATCCCTGTCCGGCTGCGCTGTTCACTAGAGCCCCCGGCTCACCCCGCCGCTTCTCTCGGCGCCAGGCCGCGCCCCTAGCCGCGCAGCCACGCCCCCACGCTCCCTCCCATTGGTCATTGCAAGGGGAGAGGCCCACTGATTGGGCGAGAGGGGCGGAGCCTTCGGGAGTGGAAAAAGAGACTGGGCTCTCAGTGAGATACAAGGCTCTCAATCATCGTTTACGCCTGCGTACAAGTGTTGTGTGGGAGGACCTTTAACCTCCCTTCCACAGGCTTCGGGAAGACTGTTGGGGGTGGGGGGTGGGGCCGGCATGCGCAGGACTGCGCAAGTGCGGACTCGTCTCACAACTTTAGGTAGTTGGAGAGGATTTAAAGGGACAGGGTCTTAACTTCGCCAGAGGCTTCCCACAGCGATCATCAGTCGCTGTGAGTTACACAGCCCGAATCTCGGAAACGAGGGAATATACAGGTGCATTTTATAAAATGTTTTATACATTCGTTATCCCGTTTAACTCTTTTGCTTTCTCTTTAGGCTCGCGGGATCAAGAGTCCAGGAAGTCACACCCGGCTCCAATCAACTTTCTTAACTCTTAGGGATTGTTGTTTTCGCTTTACTGTTTAGAAAGCAAGTCTAGAAAGGCCTTTTAGTCCTGCTTTAGGCTAGATTTTTCTTCCTCAACTGAGAATGCTTTGCCCCGGGTTAACTAACCCTCCCTTTTAGGAGAAAAGAGAGGGAAGTCTGTAAAACCTGTGAAGCCTGGGGCCCTCCCTGGAACAATGATAATAGCTTTTCATATCTCTAATTCCAAAATCAATACAGAATGGATTCTACTTCCCTGGAGCTGAGATCTACTGCTTTTGTGCAGCCTTTGAGCTTAGACTGGCTTTTATGGTTTTAAATGGTTGGGGGGTGGGGGCGGAATCAAAGAAAGAATGTAACATTTTACAATGTGAAAAGGCTTGCACTGTCCATCTCGGTTTTCCTATAACACACATCTAGTGGACTGAGACTGTTCACTGACTACTGTGGAGGCAGAAGCTTGTACAGTCTAAAATGTTTATTTTTCAAGTCCTTTCTAGACAGTTTGGGCTGGGTGCCCGTGACTCATGCCTGTTATTGTAGCTACTCAGGAGGCTGAGATCTGAGGATCCCAGTTCAAAGCCAGCTAGGCAAGAAAGCCCCATGGGACTCTTATCTCCAATTAGCCAACACAGAAAGCTGGAAGTAGAGCTGTGGCTCAAGTGGTAGAGCACTGGGCTTAAACAAAAAAGTCCAGGGATAGCTCTGAAGCCTGGAGTTCAAGCCCCAATAGGACACACACACTCAAAAAATAAATAAATAAATCCTTCTCTCTGCTCTGTACAGGTGGTTTAAAGGACATTCATGAGTAATTATGATTCTAATTTAGTTTTTACCATATTTCAGTCTAATGCCAAACGTCAGTGAAATGTCCATCTTGGCCCTGGGGACAGAGACCCGCATTCTTGTGACTCTAGGTGGCTTTGGGCAACCCACTGCTCCTCCCTAAACTCTTGTTTATTCTCGCGTGCTCAGAATAAGATAGAAAGCTAGATCTTTTTACTTGGTAGGGACTAAGGAAATAGTCCCCACACCCCCACCCCAAATCTAGAAATCTTCAGGAAGGTAGGCTGGTACTAAGGCTGGTCAGAAAATGCTTGTGGGATGAATCAAGAGATATGCCTGTAATCCTAGCTACTCAGGAGGCTGAGATCTGAGGATTGTTGCTCAAAGGCTGCCCAGGCAGGAAAGTCTGTGAAACTCTTATCTCCAATTTACCTTCAGAAAAACAGAAGTGGCACTGTGGCTCAAAGGGTACAGCACTAGCTAGCCTTGAGCAGAAGAGCTCAGGGACAGTGCCCAGGTCCAGAGTTCAGGCCCCACAACTGACCAAAAGAAAAAAGATATCTGCCTGCCTTTGGCAGGGCAGGGGTATAGCTGTGCTCATTAGTTATGTATTACCAATAATAGAGCTGAGTGTAGTGACACACAGTTGTAATCCTGGAATCTGGGAGGGTCCAAAGCCCAAGGCTAACAACCAAGGCTACACAGGAAGACCCTGTCCTAAAAATAAAACAAAATAATAACTATTTGAGCTCATTTGATGTCCTAAATCCAAAGCTTGTTACTTTGTGAACATTATTTCTTTTTTTTTCTTGGTCAGTCCTGGGGTTTGAACTCTGGGCCTGGGCCCTGTCCCTTAGCTCTTCAGCTTCAGGTGAGCACTCTAAACCACTTGAGCCAGAGCACCACGTCCAGTTTTCTGGTGGTTTATTGGAGATAAGAATCTCATGGAGCCGGGCGCTGGTGGCTCATGCCTGTAATCCTAGCTACTCAGGAGGCTGAGATCTGAGGATCGAGGTTCAAAGCCAGCCCGGGCAGGAGAGACCATGAGACTCCTATCTCCAATAAACCACCAGAAAACCGGAAGTGGCGCTGTAGCTCAAGTGGTAGAGCGCTCACCTTGAGCTGAAGAGCTGAGGGACAGCGCCCAGGCCCAGAGTTCAAGCCCCATGACCGACAAAAAAAAAAAAAAAAACAAAGAATCTCATGGACTTTCCTGCCCTGGCTGATCTTGACCGTGATCCTCAGCTCTCAGCCTCCTGAGTAGCTAGGATTACAGGCGAGAGCCACTGGCACCCAGCACACTTGCAGCTTTTGCTGTTAATTGGAGATGGGGCCTTAGGACTTTTCTGCACAGGCTGGCTTCGAACTTTGATCCTCAGATCTCAGCCTTCTGAGTCACTAGAATCACATGTGTGAGCCACCAACACCTGGCTAAGGAGACATTAATAGCTCCATATTATGGGAGAGGAAACTGAAGCTATGTGCCCAAGTACATGAGGAACAAGCTCCACTTCTTTCCAGTAGGAGTGGAGGAAATGCCCCATTTACAAGGGGGTCCCCATTCCCCTGTTGTGGGAAGAGGGTGCAAAGATGGGGGCCCCCGGCTTGCTCTTTGTATCTCAGCCCCTAGTGTTCCTCAATATGACTGCTTCCTTTCAGGGTGCGTTCACTCCTTTCTCTGCTTCTAACCTCATTGGCCACATCTATTTCTCAGCAGTTGGCACTGTGAGTGCACACCTGAATCCCATGTACCCCACGCAGAGTATTGCACAGGACAAACAGAGCCCCAAACACTTTCTCCAGATGACTGGCTGCAAGTTCCATAGAAATCCAAGGGCAGGCCATCATCCACAACTGAGCTCAGGCCAGAGTAGGAAAGGAACAAGTGGATGCCAAATAATGACAGAGCAAAGGGACAAAAGTCTCTCGGGAGGGAAAATGGTATTGGGAGCCACAGATGCTTCTCGAGGATAGCTGAGAGGCAGTCAGGGCTACATTGGGACCTGAGCACAACTGAACCCAGTAATGTGTTCCAGAAGCATACTAAAAACCGGTTGGACTGGATGCTGGTGGTGCACACTTGTAATCCTAGCTACTCAGGAAGCTGAGATATGCGAATCATGGTTCAAAGCTAGCCGGGCAGGAAAGTTCCTGAGTCTCTCCAAATGACCGCCAGAAAGCCAGAAGTGGTGCTGTGGCTCTAGTGGTGGTAGCGTGCTAGCCTTGAGCTGAAGAGCTCAGGGACAGTGCTCAGGCCCAGACTTCAAGCCCCATGACGGGGCGGGGGGTGGGGGGGCCGGGAAGAAGCAGCAGCTCAGGAACAGTGCCATGCCTGAGTTCAAGCCCTAGAACTGCCCCCGCCCCCCACAAAAAAAACAACCACCAACAAAACCAGCCCCAAAATAGATTAATTTTAAGGTATGTCTATGTCTCAATAAAGATATTAAAAAAAAGAAGAAAAAAACTCTCAATAGCTGTGTCCTTCCTAGATGACATCAGATCAAATGCAACATCTGGGGCTAAGTGAGATTTCAGAGATATGAGATACAAGGCTTTCCTACCCTGTGTGAAACCCATGGTTCTAATCTATCCTGCCTCATTTTCATTCCCAGCCCCCTGTGGGTAGGGGAGGGAGTCATTTATTTCACCAGTCTCTGGTCTTCCCTCTGCTTTTCAGTCCTCATGCAATGTATTCAATTCCACATCACCAGCCCAGACCAGGGGAGGTAGAGGTGGGGTAGTGTGTGTGTGTGTGTATAGGGGTGGTGGTGGTGGTGGTGGTAATCTGTGTGGAGGACTGGATCTAGCTGGTTTCTTGATAAAGTGTGTCATCTAGGGCAAGACACGGCTCCTGTGGGTCTGGGCTCCCCAGTTTGGTGTTTAGGGGTGTGGGAGAGGTTTCACCTCCTGAGCTGAGGAGGTGGGCAAGCAGGGAGGAGAGTTAAAGGTCTCACTTGGTGGGGTGGGGTGGGGTGGGGTGGGGTGGGGGAATACTGGCTGGCTCTTCTATGGTCCAGTCTTGGATCCCAGCTTGGGGAAACTGCAGCCTCTTGGCTTTCTGTTGCTTCAAATGGCCAATAAATACCTCCTGGGTACCCATGCTCTTCTCATATGGGCTCCAGGGCCCAGAGCAGGGTGGTGCAGATTCTGAAAAGGGTCCCAGGGCCCTCTCTGACCTCACTGTCTAGGTTCATTACCTTCCCCTTCTGCTCAGTATAGACCAGCATTCAGCCCGGCAAAACTTCAGGGTGGAGATTTCACAGCAGTTGAGCAGAATAAAATGTGTCAGAGCCTAGGGTTCTGGGAAGGGGACTCAGGATGGCAGCTGGAGACTTTGGGTCAGATTGCCAAACTCCTGAATCCCTGCTGAGTGTCAGTCTTGGATACATTAGTAGAGGTTTCTTGTTTTGGTTTTGTTTTTAAATCAAGATCTCTTCCTCTGGCACATGTCGGGGTCTGAACGGTCAGGGGGCCCAGCTGCGTGGGAGTGGGAAGGTCCAGGGGAACACCTGCTCTCATGCTCTGCCGCCCCAGGTCTGTCCCTTTAAACCATAGACCATGATGTCACCGAAGACAGCACGAGATGGGAGGGGGACTGCAGGTCTGAGGATGGACTACATTTCCCAGCATCCTCTGGTGACCCACACCCCACCCCGAGATCTCTGACTCGCCAGTGCCGGACTATTAACTAGTCCAGCGCCAGTGTTCAAGGGATTTTGGAGGCGTCCAGCCATTCTGGGGTGAGGGAAGTGTTCCCAAAGGGATGGTCGGGACATAGATGGCCCAGGCCAAAGCCATGCGCCAGGCATAGCGTGCTGGGCCTCTTTCCTGCCAGGATCCTGGCGTATCTTACCCCCCCTCCCCCGCCTCCGTTCCTGGTGCAGACTCCAGCGTCTTCCTCTTTTCTTGCTCAGTCACCCTTTCCAGAATCTGGGGCTCCAGCCCCCAGCAGGAGCGCACCCCACCCCGCTCTCAGGCTTGGGAAGTCTCAGCCTCTACCCCAGGGTCTGGAGTTCGCTCTTGGGGGGTTACCCCGGCGGACAAGTCTCTCCCTTTAAGCCGGACCGGGACTACATTTCCCAGCGCCCCCCGGGCCGTCCTGACGCAGCTCCCCCCCACCGGGAGGTGCGGGGCGGGGCGGGCCAGGCCGGGGGGAGG